TWMMWTTWTTTGAGTTTTCCCAGTGTCAGGAGTTTGGGATCTTCTGTGGCTTTTAATTGAAAAGTTTCTCTTTTGGCTTGGTAAGAATTAATGTTCCCCAAGGCTTATGAATTTGGGGACTCATCCTTGAGACACAATATTTGCCAGATTTTACTTCAAACACAGCCCTCCAAGGTGAAGGTTTCCTGTTCAGGCAGGTAAAACCCAGACTCACTTTAATAAAAACTGGACTATTCCAACACGTAGAGAAAAGCACATGCTTAAGCACTTYRCTGGTTCACAACACTGAGATTTTAGCTTTCAGGATCTTTGATGTGCCCCTCACAACCACTCCCTTGCTTGAGATCATAATAGAATAGACTGAAGATTTTTCTGAGATGAACATACCAAGTGGTAATAAAATATATTTATTCATATATGCTTGGGAATACTTCATTGTAATTTTGCAAAATATGATTTGTACGGCTCTGGGGATACATAAATCACTGATRAAATAACTTAAAGATATTTTAGCTCAGTGGTAATAGAACCAAGTAATGGAGTTGTTTATGTTTTGTCTTTAATTAAGCAATGTAGAAGACATGAAAAATAAACTCTTTTTAGTTTACCTTGGAGAAGAATGTAAATCATACCTGCATTTCTCAGAAACTTGTGTTGGTAGTCAACAACGACTCTGGTTTCGGGATTGTAGAATCCATCACCACAATCATAACAACCTTCTGGGATTATTTTGGGAGGATCCAGATTTGTAAGCTGAGCAATGCCTGAAGAGGAAAAAAAAAGGTTCTTTTTTTTCTTTTTTTTTTTAAATTTATGCCTTTGATCCAGATAACTAAACTACATCTCCATGGCATTTGCTATTAAATAACACAGTTACCTCGCAATAAATTTTGCAAAACATTTTGTCAATTTAGCAGATGGGGAAAATGAAAATGGAAAAATGCACACATAAAGATTGTGTGATAAAAAGCTAATCGCTTTGATTTCCTCATTCACAGTCCTATGATTCAGCCCACCAAGTTAACATTACAAGTACAGCCCTAAAATCCAAAACGGGGCCAGGAGAGCCTTGCTGGCCTCACAGAACTACGTGTAATCACTAAAATATTCCATGTATAGAGTATTGTATTATGTTACAGATTTTGCTCACTTGTTTCCTTATAAGTCCACCTTTTGACTACAATCAAGAATAACATTATAAAAGTCTTTAGCAAAAATATAGACTGAACACAAATATCTGTTTTGGTATCTACTAAAAAGCTACGTGGGGCAGTGCTTGAAACTTCATTTGATGTTCTGAATGCAAACTAATTGCTTTTGCACAACTTTTCTGTACCAAAAGCACCCTGCTGATGCAGTGAGGGGTGAAAGGTTTAAAAGGGTTAATCAAGATCTCAAAATCTGCAGATAATAAAGCCCTGTCCTGCAGGTCTTCACTCCAAGAGACACGCTGTGGATGCAGCGCTGCATCTCGAGCTGTGCTGGTGGAAGGTGGTGTCCACATTCTTCTGGCAGCGTCACCGRGTTGTATGAAATTAGCCAGAGCATTTCTGCTCCATGTTACTCATGTAGCTGAATTAATCTTTCTTAAGCAAAGTTGTTAGTTTAATTCCTTCCAGACTCTTAGGATTGCAAATGCAATTTAGTACCTGGTGGTTTAAAACCAGTACAGATTTCTGTATAAAATCTTCTGTCGTAGCCATCGCAGTAACGCCATTTTTCCTCATCGTATTCGAGACCATCTGCAAAAGTATATTTCGCCTGCAAAACATGTTTGAGTGCAGAATTAATAAACATGATGGATGGACGGAACGSCAAGGCCAGGTTGCACCGGCAGAGCCCCAGCAGGGCCTTTTTGTTGGGAATCGCCCGCAGCATCCCCCCACCCCGAGGGGCCAAACACTGGCATGGCTCGGAAATCCACATATTTCACCCCAAAAGCTCCCTGGCGGGGGCTTCTCCGGGTGAAACCCCCCGGCCGTACCTGAGAGGGCACCCCGCGGTTCCAGAGCGCCCGGTACCCGCCGCCGTTGGGGAGAAGCAGAATGCCCTTCCCGTGGAACATCCCGTCCCACAGCTCGCCCCGGTACTCGGAGCCGGGCGGCATGAAGTAGCGGCCGAATCCTTCCATCCTGGAAGAGATGGGGAGGGTGGGTGGCGGTAACCCCGTGTCCCCGGTGCCCGCCCGGTCTCATCAGCTCCCCGCGCCGCCATGGCCCATCTGCCACCCACAACGCCTGAGCCTCCTCTGCCGTTCCAGTACCCCCTAGCCCGGCCCGGCGGATCCCGCTGTGCCCTCCGTGTCCCCGTGCTCCCCCTGCCCTTTCCCGGTCCCCTCCTGTCCCCCGTTGTGCCCCGGTCCCACCTTCCTCTCCTCACTCCCCCCAGGTATCTGTCCCCTGCCAGCTCCATGGCGGCCCCGACGGCGCGTCCCGGTCACCATGGCAACGGTCCTGGAGGCCACGCCCCCTCCCGCGCGCCGGCCGAGGCCCCGCCCCCCTCCCCCTCCCTCAGGCGGCGGCGCGCGCGCAGTGCGGGGCGGGCGCTGAGGGCGCTCAAGGAGAGCCGCCATGCCCGGGGTGCTGGAGGTGCCCTCGCCTGAGGAGCTCGAGGTGCAGGAGGTGAGTGCGTGAGGGGGAGMGGGGTCCTCCCCGTCCTGGCTTGCCTTCCCCGCCCGCCCTCGCCCACCGCTGTGCCCCGCCGCAGGTGGCGGTGAGCTCGTCCGTGCTGAAGGCCGCGGCGCACCACTATGGCTCGCAGTGCGACGGGCCCAACAAGGAGTTCATGCTGTGCCGCTGGGAGGAGAAGGACCCGCGCAAGTGCCTGAAGGAGGGGCGACGGGTGAACCAGTGCGCCATCGAGTTCTTCAGGTGAGCATCCACCGGCCGGGACACGCCGGCCGAGCCCCACGGGCCTGGAGGYGGCGGTGCTGCGGGGCCTTGCCCGGTAGTGTCATTCGAGCGCTGGCGGTCACTCGTTMYAGTGGAACACCTCTGCTRTGGAGCCAGGCTGRGAGAGCTGCAGGTGYTCATGCTGGGGAAGAGAAAGATCCGGGGTGACCTTAGTGCAGTTTTCAGTACTAGAAGGGCCTGCAAGAGAGCTGGAGAGGGACTTAKGACAAGGGTGTGAARYGAYGGTACAAGGGGGGATGRCTTCAYAMTGACAGAGGGCAGGTTTAGATTAGTATTAGGAMGAAATCTTTCCTTGTGASGGTGATAAGGCCCTGGCACAGGTTGCCTCAAGAAGCTGTGACTCTCTCATGCCTGGAAGTGTCCAAGGCCAGGTTGGATGGAGCTTGGAGCAACCTGGGATAGTGGAATGTGTCCCCTGCCCATGGCAGGGGTGGAACGAGATGGATTTACAGGTACCTGCCAACCCAAACTATTCTGTCATTCTATTACTCTTAATTTAAAATACTCCTGCCATCACAGCCTTCAAAACCTTTATTCTTGCTTCTTRAACTTTAACTCCTGGGGATAGAGGCCATATGTTTTGTCTTGCTTATTTWTATATGAATTTATCTTGTCATTTGAAGCTCTTTGGCCTTTGTTTCAGAGCAAGTGGCTTAGGGTTTTTTTTGGGAACTCAGGGCAATGGTGTGAGGCTGCTGCACCTTGCAACTTTATTATGAACMCCAGGAAACCAAGTGGAGCATTGCATTGTCTATCCTCCCTGTCTCACAGGTGAACTACTGAGAAAGCTTGAGCAGGATGYACCACCTGCCTCTCCAAGGCATGTGCCAGTAATGCTAATAAAGGACCTAATTTAATTATCAGGCATGTTCATTTCCAGTCTARCAGCTGAAACCTCTGTCCTAAGCATGGCTTCTTGAGCTTAAGATACAAAAGGATTTGGAAGCATTAGAGCACTGTATAACTAAATTATTTGCCAAAACAGATYTCCTGTGGAGGAGCTGCAAAAATACCCTCCATGTATCAGTTAAGTTACTGTTGTCACTGATTGTTGCTGCAGTGATGGAAATTTCACATGTATTTCTAGCARCTACTGACTTGATGGAAGGTTTAGATGTCCCTGAGAGCTAAAAGCTGCAAAGACTTTGTCGCAGTTGAGGCTGGAATGGGAGAGAGAAGAGCACTGAGGGGTTTGTGCCTGTGGTGTCCCCAGGAGGATCCGGACGCACTGTGCCGAGCCCTTCACCGAGTACTGGACGTGCATCGACTACACCAACCAGCAGGAGCTGCGCCGCTGCCGCAAGCAGCAGGCAGCCTTCGACTCCTGCGTGCTGGACAAACTGGGCTGGGTGAGACCCGACCTGGGAGACCTCTCCAAGGTAACTTCTTACCTTTTGGGCCACACAGGCAGATCCTGCTCTCCCTCCTTATGCATGTTTTGTCCAGACCAGGTCTCCAGCGTCTCCTGGTCAGATGGTGATTTGTGAACTCAGCACTGGAATAATAGGACTCGAGACCGTCAGCATTTGCTAGAGTTGCTTTTCCAGAAGACTTGTGCTTTTCTTAGACAATGAAACTCTTGCTTTTTGCTTTTYCTGGTGTAGGGATTTTTCCTTTAGGGATGAAGCTCCCACTCACATGGAGCTACTCTATAGTTGTGATGAAATCTCTCCCTTCCCTTTTCTTAGAAGTATTGAGGAGCTCTCATCAACTGAACAAGGAATGTGTCCTTACTATTGTTTGGTTCTTCTCAGTAGTTCTTATTCAACCTGGCTATTAAATGCTGTGAGAAGTTGTATCACTTCTTTGCATTTCTTTCCAGGTTACGAAGGTGAAGACAGACCGTCCTCTGCCTGAGAATGTGTATCACTCTAGACCCAGACCAGARCCAAACCCACCCATTGAAGGGGAGCTGAAGCCCTCTCCCTTTGGCAGCAGGCTCTTTTTCTGGTCCTGGTGAACTCAAGTGCAGAGATCTAGCACTTGCACATGTAAATTGTGTGGTGTGTGTTGGGTATTAACAATTAAAGAGCCCCAAACCATTACATGGCTGACCAGAGTTCTTTAAACTCGTAGCAACGAGAACAATGCATTTCCATGTTTTGCTCAGAGCTCTCTGCAGTCATACAGCCCTTGGGACCCTCTGGGCACAACTAACGTCAGCTGGTTGATAATGAGTACCAGGATTGTCTGTGATGTGTGTAAAYGTAGTTCCAGTCTTTGACTGCTGTCCCATCAATCACAAACTGGCGTGAGACTTACKGATTTACTTGCTGAGAACATTGCCTCATGAATCAAGGAAACTCTGGGAACAAACAAGTCATTAATGTCTTCCCTTAGTCTTGCAACTGATAATTGTACATATTTTCCAAGGGACTCCTGTAGAGGTTTAACCTCAAATCTGTCTTGGAGCAAGGGATTAGAGGAATCTGTGGCATTTGCTGGGTATGAGGGCAGTGCTGTTTCTGCTGTAAAGATCCCTGTTGTGATTTCCAGTTGCTCATACAACATTGGTTAGTGACTTTCACTTTCTGGACTGTTTTATTGGGGGTACACAAGCTACTTCACCAGAAATATCATATTAAATTTTCAAGGAAAATCCTTTAAGGAAAAGTTTTCTCCTAAAGGATCTTGTGCCCCATTAAGCAATGTAAGAAAGTAGCTTATGTTGTCTCAAGGCCCAGATTTAAAGGGTTTGGGGCAGATCTTCCCAGTTTTTCTSTGTGATGTTCTTTTGATAGAGGAATTAGTGAGCTTTTTAAAATTTGACTTTTCTACTGTATCTGAAAATCATGTTTCTCAAAGGAGTTGGATCTAGTAATGCATTCACTTTGACCCAATAGCAAAAACCTTATAAAGGTCAGAAAAAATCCAATGAACTTGTTTTTCCAAAGCAATATGCAGTATAACTTGCTCTGGGTCAGATTGTCTCACCTGAACCATGGCAAAGAGTGGAACTGTGCTCTGCTCCTTGAGTTCCTGCTGGTAGTAGGATCTGAAAATTTACCATCTCCATGTTTGAGGTAGGATTAAACTGTAATGKTTCTATAGCTGCAGCATATGTTTCTGATCCATGAAGCTAGAGGGAAAATTGTGTAACATTTATCTAAAAATAGCTTGTGCACTGTGTGGCTTCTGGGTTCTTGCTACTTTCTGCTGGGGTGCATTGACTGAAACTCAAAGCAGGTGCTATGTTTGCATTTTAATGTACATCCCAGGCTGTCTTAGCAGCTCCTTGTCTGAATCTGTGAGCTGGGGTTGCACCTTTGCAGTTTCTCCTTGCAGATCACTGCCACCATCTGAGAGCAGCCATGTTCTGCTGAAGAAGGATAACCCCTCTGTGCAGAGTCTGAAATTAGGACAAGCTTGAGGCCTAATTACATTCAGCTGAGTGAGTGAAATGAGGTTTGGCCGAGCAGAGGATAAATTGTTCTGGGATGTTAACACGTATCWCATCAGATCTTTGGTTGCTGACCCACTCCAATAGTTGATCAGAAAGTTTTTAGATCTTTCTTACCATATTCTGCTAATAACTTACTATTGTCAGCATATTGTATGAACTRTTGCACTGCTGAACATCTGCTTTGGAATAAACAGGCATGGACATTCCAGTACTCAACCTGTAATCACAATCGAAGAGTTTTTTTTCCCATTAAATTTCTTCTGAAAAGGACATGCATAAATAGGGGGGCAAGTTTTTAAACAGACTGTTAGGAACCCCACCCTTAAGTTGGCTAGTACTGTAGGCAAAAAAATAATAATAATAGTGATTTATGCTGCAGCCTCAAAGGCTTAAGATTGCTCATCTATTTCTTGACAGCTGKATCTACAGCCTCTTGGGTCAGAGGTGTGGGATCCAGTAATGATGCACTGATCATGGTTGAAATGTCAGAATTAACTGCCTGCTGGCCTGGGTTCCCTCTTCAGTTTCAAGCAGAAGTGGGCAGGTGAAAGTATAAAAAAGATCAGCAGARGGGGACAATGAAATGATAAAGTCAAGTAGAATTCAGCTGTACTTTGAACATTTCCTTCATTAATCTCTCTGCGATAATTATTTCTTGTCTTTATCTCTTGGCTAAATCTCTGTGGAAAAGTGTTGCYAGAGGCTTTTCATGGTTCTTTGGACAGCTCCTGTGTGTAGCTATTTCTACTCAAAATCCTGTGGCTTTACTCAAACCTAGATGCCCCTTTGGAGCTGTAATGGAAACTAGAACAAGTGGATGTCAAGACTGAGTAAAGACCATAAAMGTATTTTTGAGGAATGTGTCTTGACATTTTTTTGGCAGATGGAGAGTAGACACAGATTCAACATAGATATTTCCCTGGCCCTGTGAGAAGTGTTTTTTGTTAGCTGTGGGCTTCCAGCTTTGCCAGAGTTTCTAATCACATGTCAAATTAAAAAATGCTAAGCCAGTGTTGTGCTCTTGTACTGGGAGAATTTAGAAGCCCGAATCCATCTGGGCAGTAACAGGAGATTTCAGACTCCCTCTTGTGGCTGCCTTAAGCTGATTTTGGGCATCTCTGTGAAGATTTTGCCATCGTGGAAATCCAAAGGCTAYTTAAGTATAAAAACTTGATTAGATCTTTTGTCTTTGCTATAAAATTCACTTAAACCTTGTCTCAGATTGATTTTTCCTACATMTAAAAACTCTYGAGTATSARGTGAGAAAGGGGAAGAAAAATKATTTGAAAATGTTCTGATTGCCTCAGTCACATTTGATGTGATTTAAGGAAGGTAAGGTAGAGCCGATGTAGATGGAGGTGATTGGGAAATCGCAGTGCACATTGTAATTCCTTCTCTGAATCCAGAAAGGAGATGCAGGGAGCAGTGTGGTTCTGCACTTGTGGGGCTGCTGTGAGCAGTGTGGGACAGGTGAATATGGGGAGCAAATTAATTGCAATATTTACCTTTGTAGGAAAGCACATTATTTCTCTTTGTTAGGAACAGACATGGCCTCGCCAAATAGTCTTAATAATGTTAATAATTCTGTTAATAATAATCTGGTTTTTCATGTGAGCCCTTCTAGCTGGGGACTWGATTTGAATCTAAAGCACCTTCTGCATGGTTGAGTGTGGTGCAAATAGTACTTTGGCAAAGGAAGGAGGTCTGAGAAAACACAGCACAGCAAACTAGAAGCAAATAGTCCATGGTGTGAGTTTGGCTTTAAAGCAGTAAATCAGCACCACAAGCAGAAGCAGATGCTGGAGGAGGGATGGCTCCCAGACCCCCAAGACGAGTCAGCAACAGCTCACTCACTGGTGCAGGARTTATTCCTGGCCTTGGTTTCTGCTTCAACAACAAGTTTCTCCATTCCCATGTGCTGCCAAAGCTTTGGCAAGCCCCACACAAGCCTGGTGCAGGTTCCTGTGTGCTTGGAGTGGGCAGGCAGTGAGGGAGGAGAGCCCCATTCCTCTGTGCCCCAAGGCTGCCTGGCTGTGGAGTCCTGCTCCAGGCTGTGCCAGGGCTGGGACATGAAGCAGAAGCTGCTGGGACACAAAGAGCTTTGCTGTACCTGATGTATCCAGGAACAGGGGCTCAAAGAAAAGAAGAGAGTGTTTAATGAGGTAAAAACTCTTTTACCTTGCCTGCATCCCAAGCATCACCCCATTGCTGCTGCCTAAGGAATATCTTAGATGGTGTTTGTCTGTTGCTGGTGCCTGAACAAAAGGATTCCAGCCTGTGAGTTTGAATTCCATTCCCTGTGCTCTTGGCTAGGTTTGGTGAATGCAGGTGTTCAAGGGAATGTTTGGTTCACACTGTTCCGTAGCACAAAAAATGGCAAACAGCTTTTGCTGTTTTGATAGGGTTTCAATTAATTTCTCCCTTCTCACCAGGGTAAATGAGAGCAGGGAAGAATGGCCATGCCTGTTGCTTTGTTAAGCTCAGCTTTGGCTCCAATTCTGGCACCAAGGAAAGAAATAAAATATAGGGAAGGGGAGCTCTATAAAAGAGCTATGGGTCTGCTTCCAAGTTGATAGGTTAAACCACACAAAACCCTGAATCTGAGGCATTGCTCTAATATTTGTAAAATCAGCATGGCAGCTCTGTTAAGGGCTATGCATCACCCTGAGGGTGGTTCAGCTCTTTATAAGTAGTAGCACAGCCTTCTGCTTCCATGCAAACAGGAGTGAAGATTTTAATGGAGTCAGAATTACCCCTTTGGTTAGAGCACTGTCTGACCTCTGCTTTGTTCTCGCTGCCTCCCGTGTGTAGCTGTGCCGAGACAGGAGCCTGACCCAGCTTTGGGGGAAAAGGGCTGCCAGGAGTCCCTAAATGTGGGATCAGTGAAATCCTCACCACTTCTGTACCCAGCCCGGGTGCACTCCAGGCTCT